GAACCAGCTCTTGGAATTGTTGACTCTTTGTATTGTTTTGTTTGTTTCAATTTCATTAATTTCTGCCCTTATTTTTGTTATTTCATCTTGTCTGCTGGGTTTGGGTTTCATTTGTTGTTGCTTTTCAAGTGTATTGAGTTGCAACATTAAGTCATTTATTTGCGTTCTTTCTGATTTTTTTTAATGTAGGCACTTAGAGCTATAAACTTCCTTCTAAGGACAGCTTTCGGCGTGTCCCAGAGGTTTGTTGTGTTGTTTTGTTTTTTTCATTTAGTTCCAGGAATACTTTTATTTCTTTCTTAATTTCTCTTTTGACCCATTCATCATTCAGGAATGTGTTGTGTAATCTCCATGTGTTCATGTTGTGACTATGGCTTCTTCCAGTGTTGATTGTAAGCTTTATTGCATTGTGGTCTGATAGAATGCATGGAATTATTTTACTCTTTTTGTATCTGTTGAGGTTTGTTTTGTGCCCCGGTATATGGTCAGTTTTGGAGAAAGTTCCATGGGGTGCTGAGTAAAAAGTATGTCCTTTGATGTTTGGTGGAATTCTCGGTAGATGTCTGTTAGGTACATTTGATATATGATATTGTTTAATTCAGATGTCTTTCTGTTAAGTCTCTGCCCTGTTGGCCTATCTAATGGAGACACTGGGGTATTGAAGTTCCCTACTGTTAATGAGTTGGGATTAATCTGGGTCTTAAAGTCCTATAGTATTGTTTTTATGAAATTGGGTGCACTGGAGTTTGGTCACTATATGTTCATGATTGTGATATCTTCTTCGTCTGTCGTTCCTTTGATCAGAATGAAGTTTTCCTCTTTATCTCTTCTGATTAGTTTTAAAGTGTATTTTGTCAGATAGTCGAATTGCATCACCTGCTTTTTTCTTAGTACCATTTGCTTGGTATATTTTTTTCATCCTTTCACTTTAAGATAGTGCCTGTCCTTGAAAGTGAGATGAGTTTCTTACAGACAACAAAAAGATGGGTTTTGTTTCTTAATCCATTCATATAGTCTGTGTCTTTTGACTGGGGAGTTCAGTCCATTAATATTTAAAGTTATTAATGAAAGATGAGTATTGAATCCTGTCATTTTTATTTCTGTTTACATTCTTGATATAGCTGCACTTTTCCACAGTTATACCTACATTGAATTTCTTTCTGCAACCCCTTGGGTTTAGTCATTCCTTTCTTCAGGTCTTTGTATTGGTTCCAGAACTCTCTGAAGGGCTTGTTTTTGTCGACATGAGTTCCTTCAGCCTATTTATGTCATGGAAGATTTTTCTTTCCCCTTTGACTATAATAGACATTTTGGCTGGGTATAGTGATCTGGGTTGGCATCTGTAGTCATTTAAAACTGGGAATACTTTGGTCCAGGTTCTTCTGGCTTTCGTAGTTTACACTGAAAAGTTGGTGTAATCCTCATGGGTTTTCCTTTATATGTGATTTGTTTCTCTTTTTCAGCTTTCAGTATTATCTCTTTGCTCTGTATGTTCAGTGTTTTTG